ACTGGCTTTGGCTTAGGGTTAGTTACTTGTAATTATGCATAATTTAACTTTATTACTACAGTAAGTGCATGTAACATATGATAAGGATACTAAAATAAGGTGTTACCGGGTTTGGTTTATGGTTAGTTACTTGTAATTATGCATAATTTAACGTTATTACTAAAGTAAGTGCATGTAACATATGATAAGGACACTAAAATAAGGTGTTACCAGGTTTAGTTTAGGGTTAGTTACTTGTAATTATGCATAATTTAATGTTATTACTACAGTAAATACATGTAACGTGTAACAAGGACACTAAAATAAGGTGTTACCGGCTTTGGTTTAGTGTTAGTTACTTGTAATTATGCATAATTTAACGTTATTACTACAGTAAATACATGTAACGTGTAACAAGGACACTAAAATAAGGTGTTACCGGCTTTGGTTTAGTGTTAGTTACTTGTAATTATGCATAATTTAACGTTATTACTACAGTAAATACATGTAACGTGTAACAAGGACACTAAAATAAGGTGTTACCGGCTTTGGTTTAGTGTTAGTTACTTGTAATTATGCATAATTTAACGTTATTACTACAGTAAATACATGTAACGTGTAACAAGGACACTAAAATAAGGTGTTACCGGCTTTGGTTTAGTGTTAGTTACTTGTAATTATGCATAATTTAATGTTATTACTAAAGTAAATACATGTAACAAGGACACTAAAATTAGGTGTTACCGGCTTTGGTTTAGTGTTAGTTACTTGTAATTGTGCATAATTTAATGTTATTACTAAAGTAAATACATGTAACATGTAACAAGGACACTAAAATTAGGTGTTACCGGCTTTGGTTTAGGGTTAGTTACTTGTAATTATGCATAATTTAACGTTATTACTACAGTAAATACATGTAATGTGTAACAAGGACATTAAAATAAGGTGTTACCGGCTTTGGTTTAGGGTTAGTTACTTGTAATTATGCATAATTTAACGTTATTACTACAGTAAATACATGTAATGTGTAACAAGGACATTAAAATAAGGTGTTACCGGCTTTGGTTTAGGGTTAGTTACTTGTAATTATGCATAATTTAACGTTATTACTACAGTAAATACATGTAATGTGTAACAAGGACATTAAAATAAGGTGTTACCGGCTTTGGTTTAGGGTTAGTTACTTGTAATTATGCATAATTTAACGTTATTACTACAGTAAATACATGTAATGTGTAACAAGGACATTAAAATAAGGTGTTACCGGCTTTGGTTTAGGGTTAGTTACTTGTAATTATGCATAATTTAACGTTATTACTACAGTAAATACATGTAATGTGTAACAAGGACATTAAAATAAGGTGTTACCGGCTTTGGTTTAGGGTTAGTTACTTGTAATTATGCATAATTTAACGTTATTACTACAGTAAATACATGTAATGTGTAACAAGGACATTAAAATAAGGTGTTACCGGCTTTGGTTTAGGGTTAGTTACTTGTAATTATGCATAATTTAACATTATTACTACAGTAAATACATGCAACATATGATAAGGACACTAAAATAAGGTGTTACCGGGTTTGGTTTAGGGTTAGTTACTTGTAATTATGCATAATTTAACGTTATTACTACAGTAAATACATGTAATGTGTAACAAGGACATTAAAATAAGGTGTTACCGGCTTTGGTTTAGGGTTAGTTACTTGTAATTATGCATAATTTAACGTTATTACTACAGTAAATACATGTAATGTGTAACAAGGACATTAAAATAAGGTGTTACCGGCTTTGGTTTAGGGTTAGTTACTTGTAATTATGCATAATCTACTGTTATTACTACAGTAACGTAAACATTTATTTTAGTGTCCTTGTTACAAGGTTTGATTTAGTGGATAACTGCTTGTAATTACACACAGTATTACATGTTATCAGCTGTTATTACCACAGTAAGTGCATGTAACCTCTAGCTACACCTTAAAATAAAGTGTTACCAATTATTGCAATTTGACTAAAGATATTTAAAAAAAAATTATTTGGAATAATGTGTACAAATAAAATTAATAAAAATAAGACAAGGTACGTTCATTAAAAAGTACCAATGTTTATGTTGACTTTAAGACCCTTTTAGGACTTCAGCATCTAGTGTCATGGAAAGGTGATTTTGTGAGGTTACCAGGGCAGCCAGGAAGTAGTGAAAGTACACCGTATACAGTAAAAACTGTAAAAGTAAGAAAGTAGAACACCTAGAACTCTCGAAGTGATGCCAAAGTCCCTTTATGGCAAGTTCACTGAACGGTCACTCAAGTAATGCCTCGGGCAGCTGTTTCCAGCCATGCAAGTACAGCTTCATCTGATTGAACGGAGAAAAGCTAAAATTTGTATTTGTCAAAATTCTGTTTGTGATTTATTTCAGATCAATAAAATGAGACAAGAATTATATTATAGCTTAAAATCAGTGTTTCTTAAGTGCAAATCACTCAAAAACCAGCTAATGCACATGCATCATCAAGAGTAAACAAACAGTCTGTTTGCTATTTGAGCTCTAATGCATTCAGCTGCTTCATTGAGTGTAGTGCTGCCTCTATCAAAAGGGATATTGGCTGTTTTACCTGTAGGGCAGGACTACAGCTGCCGTTATGATTGCTCTCATTTATATGTTCAAGTGGACAATCTCCTACATTTATAAAGCCTCTGGTGGCGTTACAGAGTTTGACCTGTGCAACTCGTGGCATCTGGGAAAACACCATAGCATTCAATGCAATGGAAAACGTCAAAGGGCTTCAATTCTCTGATTGTGGGTATTTGGTTAACACATTACTTAGGTCTCGGGTGTAATTAAGAGTATCATGAATGCAAACACAGTATACTAACCACTGCAATCATAGCAAGCTGTGAACAGAGCCGTTTTCATGCACATGACTTAGAGGAAAATGTTATGACGGTATTATCTTTCTTTAGAACTTTCAGTCAAATGGGCAGATTTCAAAATGTTGACGTGAAAAACGTTTCTTGCGCAGGGATGAAAGGTGCAATTGTGCGAGCTGTTTTCTGCTTTCTGCAAATGGAACAGCCACGGCAGCGTCAAATGAACAGGGTTTTTTTTAATCCTCGACTCTTTGATTTGATGAGACCTATTTGCATTTGTTCCAGGGTAATGGTCAGGATGAAAGCGGCAGCGGTAATAGCTTTTAGCCATCAAATCCAGCGCCCTCCCCACCTCCTGCTCCCATTGTACTGTAATTACTCCTGCTCTCTCCCTCTGCAATCATTTGCATTCACCACTAATGTTTTTGTAAACACGGCTTTGATGTGAGATTTAATTAAATCGGATACAATTATTATGTTGATTGATATCACAGATGCTTTTAAAAAGACTCTTGTAAAGGTTTGGCAGGTCGCTGGTTTGCTCTTCACAAGTCAGCCACGTCGAGTTTTAGATGTGATGTCAGGTTTGAGGTGCGTTTGGGTCATTTTCACGAAACCCATCAAGAGCATGTCTGGTTCAGATTTCAGCTCCAAATCAAGCACCATTAAGATTGTGTGCATTGCGACTTAATTTCCATGACATTTACACAGTTTGCAAGATGCAAGAAGTTTCCACTGACAAGTAATTTGTCAGATCTCACAGAAAGTGAAAATGATGCGTGACACTGTCACAGCCATTCACAACACATTTGATGTTTACTATATATGTTTTTAAAAATAAATTTATTTATTTTGTTAAAGAGTGGCATTTATTTATATTTATGCATTTATTTCAGTTTAATAGTGGCATGATATTTATTTTAATTTTTTGTTTAATATTGGAATTTATTTAATTAATTAGCAATGGCATAATATTTATATTAGTGCTGTCAAACGATTAATTGCATCCAAAATAAAAGTTTTTGTTTACATAATATATGAGTGTGTACTGGTTTTATTTATTATGTATATATAAATACAAACACATTCAGTATATATTTTGAAAATATTTATATGTATATACATTTATATATTTATATTATTATATTATATATAAATATATTTAATACATAAACGTAAAATATTTTTCATAAATATATACATGCATGTGTTTGTATTTATATATAATCATAATAAATATACGCAGTACACACA